GCAACTGTTTAAACTTGTTCGTTTACCTCTCATTTTCGTACTTTGTCAAGCTACAATATACACACGTCCTCCGTTAAGTTTAAAAGAGCATTCTTGAAATATAATTGACAACTAATATGCAAGGAACAATTGATCTAAAAATATTCATTTCATTTTTTTTGGAGCATAGAATGCTCCAAAAAAATGAAATGAATATTTTTAGATCAATTGTTTTTCCACAAAAATGTTCAAGTTTCTCTTTCCTAAAATATAATTCAAAAAAATTCTAGTACAAATAAAATAAAAAAATAAAAAATAAAATTATATATTTTATTTTTCTAATAACTAAATATAAAATATAAAATATAATTAATAAATAAATAAATATAAAATAAAATTAATTAAATTAAAAATACAAAAAAAAATCGACAAAATTATTCAAAAAAAAAAATTGTTTAAAAATTCTCTTACAAAAAAATATAAATCGAAAGAATGTGTTAAAAGAAGAAAAAAATTTGTTTCCAAATTGCTTAATAATTTTAAAACGTGTCCGGCAATTATGGACACGTGTCAGGTGACGAAATAATTTACTAATAGATCATTATCACGGAATTTAATTGTCAGAAGTTGCGTGCAAATAATAATATCTAATTTCTCTCTTTCTAATCGAAATAAGGTGGCATTCTCATTCATTTATTTTTCATTCATTTACTCGCGTGTTTATCGCGTTTTATCGTCGCGCGATCCCAAAATATCTGCGATCTATCGCGATAAACTGGCGAGAATAAATGACCCATTGTGCATTAGTGCAAATTGCATTATCGCCGAAAAATTTTTCGAGTCCACTTGACACGTATTTCGCGATAATGCATCGAGAGCTTGATTGTTACTTGTTTTAATATAATAACGTGCCGATAAATTATTACTCGATCGACTGGTTCTTTTGTCCCGATTAATGCTTGATCAATGTTATTAAAAAGAAGAATTAAGAATCAATGATTTGAATTTCTCGCGCCGATAAATTAATATTTAAACATTCGTAATTCGTTTCTTTTCAATTTCATTTAAAGAAACATTAATGTTGTCTTTTTTCCTCTTCTGTTAAAAAAAGATAAGAGCCACTCCCTCGATATTATTTTAAGGTAATGAATTAGCACTCATACAATATATATATATATATACGATAAATTAATATTCAGTCCATGTTATTACAGTAGGATAAATATTTTGAATTCTTCGCGCGTTGAACGCGCTCGTAATAAATTAATAATCCAATAAATTGATTTTTTTCCCTGCTCAATATTCAATCAACATTGCAAAAAAATTTCTAATTCTTTGCGCGACAAACGCGCCGATGAATTCATATCCAATCGAGTAATTCTTTCTTCTATAATATATTTTTTCGATATCGTCCGCTTCGATATCGGTGTTTTTTAAAGAAAGATTAATGTTTCTCTCTTTCCCTTCTATTTAAAAAAAACACACGCAGAGAGGGTCGTAGTAATCTTGGTGGATTACCTTCGAGCTTTGGACAAGTTATGATTGGAATACACTTAAATATGATTTCAGTCGGAATCTAGCGGAATCGCGGCTTTGAAAGGATCGAAAACCGCGAGTCCACAAATGCGCGGAATTTCCGCATTCTTCGGTTTCGTTGAATCCACTTTGTGGAATTGGGTAACATTACAAAGGTACTCACCGGAATAGCAAAAAGCCCAAGCCAGTAACCGCGGCTCGACGAACGTCATCGTTAACATCAGAGACCTATTGGAATAAAACGGAATAAAAATTATAATAATCCAGCGAGAAAATTATATAATCTGCCTCTTGCTCTCCGATACCGATATAAAATTATCCGTGTCTCGCACAGATTAAATCGATACGTAAAAAAAGATCAGAAGGATCAAAACCTTTATTTTATACAAATAAGCTACTGCAAATTTTAATTTCTTATTAATTTAGCTTTTAAAAATAGACGTTTTACTTCTAAATTTTTTAATTTGAAATATTAGTTGGAATATTATTTAGCACTTATGCATAAAATAAAGAAAAAAAATCCATTTATAGAACTAAAATCGCAACAAAATAAAACCAAGAGAACGATAGAAGAAAGATCGAAAGGAAATATGCAATGTGTTGGAAAAGTCCCGGATCGGTAAAATATCTTGAAAATGAGATATTTAAAAAAAAATATTTTATACAAAAGTTGTTGGGTTTCAACAAATGCACCAAATAACAAAACTTACTTAACCTTGCGTAACTATCAAGGAGCTGTCAAGATCAACTTTAAAATTTTAAATGGAAACCTCCAATTTTTATTCAATATTCTTCTCACTTATCTCGAGAGCTTTCCAAAACACTATAATAAAGTATTTTTTCATTGGGTACTTTTCGAGTTGTAAGGCTTGAAATAATTTCTTAATTTTACATAAACCATAAAATATCTAGTAAGATATTCATTTTTCGATTATCTTACCTTAATACTTTGATGTAGAAAGTAATGAGAGGAATCGATTGGTGTAAAGAAAATATGTAGTTGTTTTTGAGAAAAAATGTAATTGTTAATTGCAAATTATATATTTTTTCTTAAAAACAACTCGAAAAGTACCCAATGAAAAAATACTTTATTATAGTGTTTTGAAAAGCTCTCGAGATAAGCTATAAGAATATTGAATAAAAATTAGAGATTTCCATTTAAAATTTTAAAATTGACCTCGAGAGCTCCTCCATGGTTACGCTCAAGATCAAATAAGTTTTGCTGTTTTATGCATTTGTTGAAACCCAACAACTTTTGTACAAAACATTTTTTTCTAAAATGTCTCGTTTTCAAGATATTTTACCTGGATCCTGGATTTTTCGAACACATTGTAAAAAAATTCAAAGATTCTCGAGTATAAAATGCCAATTCGAGGTGACATCGATAGGAATCCTGTATCTACGGGGTGTACAGTTTCGAATCAACACTTACGGCAACATGCAGGAGTTTGCGGATGGCCTGGTTGTTTCCGGTGCCGCAGTAGGCCATCGCCAAGGTGTACATGCCGCTCCTGCGCAGGATCGGATCCTTGTCGGCGCACAAGGATGTCACCAGGGGATCGGCTTCCTCCAGACGACCGTACATCGTGAAGGCGATGCCGACTGCCAGGCCGCGCAGGATCTTCTCGTGCTGCGTCTCTTGGGCGTACTGGGGAAAGCGGAAGAAAGCCTCGTAAAAGGATCTAAAATCGATGCGCGAAACAGGAGGCCGTCCTTTGGACGCTGATGCAATAAAATACCTTTTACTTTTCCGCGATAGAGGCGGAGCATTAGAGCGGTTACATGCATAAACATTGCAAATTAACGCCGCGCTTTAAATATTAAACAAACGATTTAATTTTCTAATTAACGGGCAAAAATCCTCGGAGAGCGAAAGGCGCCTCGTTTAAACCAAGCGTCTATCCAATTATTCAAATTGAGATCTTACACGTCGCTCTGTAAAAATCCCCGGATAAAGAGCCGCGACGCGATGCACATGTAAAGTACAGTGTAATAAAATAAATTAATGTTTTTCTTTTCTTTTTTTTTTCTTCCTGTCTCTCTCGCGAGAGGAAAACCTTTCCATCTCTGAATAAAATCAGTGTGATTTTCCGAAAATTCTGTTTCGCCGAATCACCTCTTTTAACAGCGGGCCGTGTTTAATGCCGCTTTTTGCAGGTGAGATCGAGATGTGCTCGTGTGTTACTTAATCGCAGCCGCCGGGACACATTATGGAAAACCCGTAATGGGTAATTGGATTATGCCGACCGACTAGTGGCAAGTTATGATTCGTTTAGCATCGACCTGCTGCTGCTGATGCTGATGCGGTTGCTGCTTGCGACGAAAGTTTGTTCCAGTCCGCGCGCGAAATTGCTTTCCTCGAGGAAACATCGGCGCAAAAAAAGAAATGCGACCGTTGTTTCCCCATCGGACATCCGACGAGAAATAAATTGGCGAATTAATGAATAGAGGGCGAGAAAGAAGTAACCGAATCGTGCCGGTCTTCTTTCAGACACACACTTGAGAACACTGCGGCTATAAAGAAAGTTTCTAAAAGTAACCTTTTTTTCTCCCTCTTTCTCCTTCTAACTCTATATAAAAAATTTTATCTGCAATAAACTACAATAAAATTATAGAGAAAAGTATTTTCAGTGTACGTGATATCGAAACTAGAGCTGTTACTTTTGACAACTTCGAAGAAATGTCGAAAAAATTCCAAGCTTCGAAGAATATATTCTTGCACATTTTTTCATGTAGGAAATGTTGAAAGTAAAATTATAAATAAAAGTGAAAATTAATTAATATATATACATAAAAAATTAATTATTAAAAATAATTTATAATAATTAATATATTAATATATTAATATATTAAAATATATATTAAAATAATATATTAAAATAATATATTAAATATATATTAAAATAATATATTAAAATATATTAATATATTAATATATTAAATTATTAATAATTTATAATAATTTATATAATAATAAATTATTAATAATTTTTTTTAAGAAATAAATGATTATTAAAAACTATTGAAAATCAAAGATTTTAGACATATCTTCCAATTCAGCAACGTGATTGCAATGTTTTATTCAGATTTTTTTTGTCATATAATTTTATAAATATATATTTATTAATATAATCTTCAAAGCTTTGAATTTTCAAATTAAATTACCAACTTTAATCAAAACTAATCTACATTATAATAATAAAACCTTGAAAAGCGGGATTGAAACACTTGAAAAATTATTTATAATCATATGAGATAAAGATGAATGAGTTTTTATTATGTAATATCAGAATTATCGACATAAACTAACATTTGATAAATAAAATAAATAAGTTCAACTGTCATGATAAAATGGCACAATCGATTAATCTTGCTTAAATTGGATTGGCACACAAATTAATTACGCCTATTTAATTGATATCATTGACGCCTTATCGATCGCATTCTGTCTGTATTGATCATGTTGTCTCTTCTCGACGACAGACTATAAAAGAGACGTCAGGAAACACGTTAAAAGTTAAAATCTTCAAGAAGTTATAAAGAAATTATAGCAAAGATTATGGCTTCCCCGGCGATTGCATTGTGTGCGTAAAACGAACATTGTTCCCTGATTTCACGGTTGTATATTCGTAGAGGAAAGAATATTTTTTTCAACACTTATTTAAGCGTATTTCTAAGAGAAGCTTATCTTCCAACATATTGTTTATTTATATATTAAAAAGATGTTAATTTTTTACCCCGTAAAGCGGCATATTTGTGGTAGAAATAAATTTACAATTTTTGTTAAAAATGTATAATAAAAATTATAAATATATATAATAAAACTTTATAAATTTTATTAAAAATTTTTAACTTCCATAAAATATAAAATAAATTTTATTAAATATAAAATAAATATTATCAAATATAAAATTTTATTAAAAATTTTATTAAAAATTTTATTAAATAAAAAAAATTCTTTATTAAAGATTTTATTAAATATAAAATTATTACTAACAATTATTATTAAAAATTAAAAATTTTATTAAATATAAAATTTTATAAAAAATTTATAAAATTTTAACTTTATTTAAGGGTAAATTGTTTTTCACCACGAATATGTTGCTCTAAAAAAAATATATATTTTTTTTTATCGTATAAATCTGTGTTTAATTTCATGTCGAAAAATCATCTTAAACTGAGATTGAGGCTTTTCCTTGCAGTGTACCCTACTTTATTAGCGATCCTCGCGATGGATGGGAATTATACGCTTTTCGCCGACGACCATGGAACATCGTACATGATCGATGAAAGCGAACCTGTACCTACGGCGGCGGAACTCGCCGAGATCGAGGAATCCGCTCTCGATACCTTCTTCTCTTTATTCACACGGTAAATATAAAAAAATTAAAAAATTTGTTCGAAATATTCTCTGGTAAAATAAAAATTATCACCTTTATCTTATTTAGAAACAACCCGAAAAATGGACAGCAGTTAATTGTCAACGACAAGGAAAGCGTGAATAATAGTTTTTGGAATCCTGAACGTCCCACTAGCTTCTACGTTCATGGATGGCGGGGAAATATATCGTCTGGATCTCCTAGCACCTTGATTCGAGATGGTAGAATCATAATTCATCTTAATTGCCTGGTTCTTTTTGCCTCTCTGATTTCTTAATATAACCCTTATCTCTCTCTCTTTTTTCTTTACTTTATCTTTAAATATTCCTGAATTTTTAAATTCTTTAAATTTAATTTCTTTTAACTCTCTGAATCTTTAATACATACTTCTTACTCTCCTCCTTCTCCCTTTCTTAATTTCCCGAGTCTTTGAATTCTTCTGACGTCTTCAAATTTAAATTTCTAAATTCCATGGATTCTTTTAGCGTCCCGAATCTCAGCGAGACTAATTTCTATTTCGCTACCATTCTCTTTGTTTAATATCCCAGCTTATCTCAGCACCGACGATTGCAACGTCATCCTGGTTGACTGGCAAAAAGCGGCTAGCAATCTCTGGTACTGGAAAGTCGCGAGAAGCGTACCGTTCGTGGCAAAACATGTGACTAAAATGATAAATTTCCTGGAGAAGGAGGCGGGTCTGGATACCTCCAGACTCAGACTGGTAGGACATTCCTTGGGTGGGCATATCGTCGGTCTCGCAGCTCGTGGCGCCGACAGCAGAGTCGCTGAAGTGATGGGTAAATCCAAGTATTCGTTGCGGAAAAAATATAACGAAGAGAATCAAAACTCGAACTCGAAGAATAAATAATAACCGATCAAGAGAATTTTCTCACATTTCTTTAATAAAAAAAAAATGAGGAAGATACGTTGGAAATTTTTCCCTCAAGATTAAGCTCAAATTTTGAAGGAAAAAAAAAAACTCGGGACTCTCTTTAATCTTTTAAAATTAATTTGACAAGAGATAAGAGGGATTGTCGATCTGCAGCTCTAGATCCCGCGAAACCCGCGTTCATCTCCAAAGGACCAGGCGAAAGGGTGGACATCACGGATGCGGTTAAGGTGCAGGGGATCCACACGAGTTCGATCGGTCTCGGAAAAGCAATCGGTGACTCCGATTTTTATCCGAACGGCGGTATCTTGCAACCGGGATGCAGCATAATTAGTAAATATGGCTCGATAGCCTCCTCGATGCCCAAGTCAATATCGCTTGTTGGCTCGTTAGTTAACGCTCTAAATTAATTTTCAGTACCCGCGTGCGCGCATGAGAGAGCCTGGCAGTACTACGCCGAGTCCATCAAGAACCCAACAGGTTTCCGCGCCGGTAACGTATTCATGGGCGGGCCAAAGTTCGATTCAAAGTAAGTATAATTTAAGTAAAAAAAAAAATATAATTTTTGTACGATAAAAAAATTCGTGAAATAAAAACAAAGGTGTCATTCCAATGGCTGCTATTCAAATTAGGATTGTTACTTTTGACAACTTCGAAGCTTTGAATTTAGATGTTAAACTTCGAACTTTTGAAGTTCGAAAAATATATTTTTGCAAATTCATAAGAAATTTTTTATTATCTCCAGAAATTATCTCCAGAATTACACAAAAAAATAAATTACATTGAATAGTTAACTAAATTATTGTATGTATTTAACTTGCCGCTCATTTTTTATTTCAAAATCAATGTAATTTATTTTTTTGTGTAATTCTGGAAATAATTTTTTGTAGTTCACTCGAAAAGGACCAAAACCATGGTCGAAACGTCGTGATTCACTTTAATAAAAAATTTGCCAGTGTGGTCGTTTTTACTTCTTTTATTTTATTTATTGGCGACCTTCAAGAGTTTAATGTTACACATAAGAAATGTTGAAAATATTGTAAATAAAAGCGAATTAAAATAAATGAGGAAATATTAAATTGAAGTCAATAAAATGTAAAATTAAAATAAATAAACGAATATTATAAAATATTAATACACAAGATATTATAAAATATTAATATACAAAAAATTATATATAAAATAAATTAAATTAAATTATTAAATTAAATTATTAAAAAATTATTAAAAATTTAAATTTAAATATTAAAATTTTTAGACACATTTTTCAATTTAGTAATATAATTGCAACATTTTAAATTGTTGTTACAATTTAAAATTTCGGACATTTCAGATTTTATCATATAATTTTATAAATATATATTTATCACGCGAGATAAATAATCTCCAAGAAGCTTCGAAACTTCGAAACTTCGAAATTTTGATCTTTAAAAATTTCAATACCGAAACTTTGAATCTTTGAAACTTCAAAATTCGAATATCAAAGTCTTCGAAGTAAATCACTAGTCCTAATTTAAATTTCTCCTATTTTATTTTATTGAGCAAAAAATGTGTTTTCTTCTTCTTCCTTTTCTCCTTCAATAGAATGAACATTTATTTCTTATTGCATCGGTTTTTCTTTTCTCTTTTCTCCCCATTTTTATATTTTCTTCTTCAAATGTTACGCTGAGAAATGTCGAATGCCGCGGAAACTTTCGCGTTTTCCTTCACGCAAATTGACCGAGACGTTAATTTTATTGTTTGTATTATTTTCAGCGCGAGAGGAAGGTACACTCTGAAAACCCGCAGATCATCACCGTTCGCACTCGGATAGACGTTATCATCTTATAACTATCACTCCTGCAAATATTCTGCGATAAAAAAAAAATAAATTTTCCTACAAGCATTCTCAAGTCTGTCGTTACTGAAATGACTCATCCGATATTTTCGTTCTCTTCACATACACAACTACATTATCAGTATTTCATCATCACTATCACTCTGACAGGAGCAAATATCGTTTTATCATTAAACCATTTGTAATTACTTTTCAGATCAATAACTTTGTGTATTTATATTGTTATATATACTATATCAGGATTGTCGATAAATCGTAATAATTTAATAATTCTTTTAATAATTCTTAATTAATAATAATCGTTTTCTTTCATCTTTTTTTTAAATTAATCTGTCTTTTAGATTCATGTGCGATTGACTTATTGGGTCGATCGGTATCATAAATTTATCGATCACACAATTAAACTATGTCTATCAACAGACTATAAAAGAATTATTCGGGAAACTAAGAGGAGAATTTTCAACGTGCAATCTATTTATACGAAGATGGTTGCTTTGCCGACAATCGCGTTACGTACGTAAAAAACAATTATTCTCGGATTTCACAGTTGCATATTCGTGAAAAAAATTATTCTTCGGCTGGCAATCGCATATTCATGAAAAAGAAATATTACTTTTCGATTACGTTCTCTTTCGTGAAAAAAAAATATATTTATATTATTTGATTTTTTCGTCATTTTAATAGAAAGAATTATTCTTGAATTTCGCGTACGTCTCAACGTATTTAATTCCATTTTGTGGAAAAATTTCGGTGATCGATGTGACAGTGTATCTTTCTCTATTGACATTCCTCGCGGCGAATGCAAACTACGCGATTCCTGTCAACGATGATGAGATGTCGTGTACGTAGTCGATACAAGCAAACCTGGATTGACATAGGCAGAATTTGATGACATTTACGAATCAGTTGAAAACACTAGCTTCTATTTGTGCCCTCGACATATTATATGTCCCAAATATTGGCACAAGAAGAATATCGCGTATGATTGATAATTTTAAGAAGATTAAATTACATATATTTTTTTTAGAAATAAACCGAAAAATGATCCGAAAACATATTTATGTATATAAATAAATAATATAAATAGAGATAAATGTATTTCCGAGAAAATCCCTTTACATAAAATAATAAAAACATTACAAAAAAAAAATAATAAAAAAAGAAAATGCGAGAGAAGAATGATAAATATTATAAAGACAGAAAAACAATAAAAAGAAAATGAAGAATGCAAGAGTGAAAACAAATGTACAAACACATAAAGCTAATCATTAATACATAATTTAGATAAATCTAATTGAGATAGTGAACTAATACATTCTTGAAAAAACTACTTAATTGAAAAAAAAAATTTTTTAAATCAATCTTATCTGAGCACTTAATTGCTAGCTAAAATAATCGATTAACAGATCTAAATCTACCCAGTTCGATGAAATTCTTCATGAAAAAGCAAGCTCTTCCCGAAATGCCTCGTCGATATATTTAAATTAACATTCAGATATCAGAGCAATCAATACAGCCATTTATAACTTTATAAAAATGTAAAATTAAAGAAAAGTTTCCTATATATTATACAAAGATAATAAATTTAATTAACTAATTATAGACACATAATTAAATCAAATCATGGCAAGTAAAGCTCATAGGCCTATATTTATCGACGATTTAGATAGTATGAAGAACAGTTCTTGAAATTCTGATCATTCCACTCGATTGATTACTCATGGATGGCGAGAAGATTGTAAAGGTTGAAAAGGAGACCCTTGTGTACAAACGTTTCAAGACGATAGAATCTTCATAAACCGTCGAGTCTTTGGATTCTTGAGAATATTATTCTCGAGAATATTATTAATCAATATTATATAATCCTTATACTTTCTTTTTTTCCTTTAAAATTCTTAAATTTTAATATTCTTAAATTTTTTTACTTTCTAAGATCCTTAATATACAATTTTTATATAATTTCTCCTTCTTTTATTTTTAATTTTTAAAGATCCTTTAGATTCTTTAACTGGATAATTCAAATTTAATTTAAATTTCCAAATTTCTGGTTGCCACGGATTATTTTAAGGCCTTGAATCTCGACGATTAAATTTCTGCTCGTTCATTAATGTCCATTAATATCCTTAGCTTATATCAGCGTTGTAGATTATAATGTCATTCTCACCGACTGACGGGACGTGGGATCTCTGGTATTGTAAAGCCGCGAATAGCGTGTCATTCGTGTCAACACGTGGCTTTCCTGAATAGATTTTCTCGAAAATCAAGCAGGCCTGGATCCTGACAAGACTACGATATTCGGATATTCTTTAGAAGTGCACGACGATCTGGGTGCTCGTTTCACGATTAACGAAATGGCTGAAGTAAATCCCACAAAAGACATTTAACATTTTTTTTTCTTGCTTACAAATCCAAAATGGTAGAATCTTTGTTAATAATAGTCGAATTTCAGGATTGTTGATTTCTCGAATCGATAACATATATTTTAAGGATTATATTATATAACCTTTATATACAGGATGTCCCAGACTTAACGAATCAGTCGTTAATAATAAATTCCTGAGATCATTTGAAAACGAAAATCTTAATACCAAAATGTTGAGGAAGATGTAGTTTAGTCTACCATTAACGGCTAATTCGTTAATTCTGGGACACCCTATATATAAAGTAAAAAAATCTAATTTATAAATTTAAGAGTTTTTTAAAGGCTTGAAAACTTGAAGAAAAGAAAAAGAAAGTAATAATACATATATTACTATACTTTCTTTTTTCTTTTTGTTTTCTTTTCAAGCCTTTAAAAACCTCTTAAATTTATAAATTAATTTTCTTTTTACTTTCCAAATTCTTAATCAACTAGGGAGAGGCTAAGATATTTTCAATTTATAAAGTTTTAAATCTTCAGAGCGTAAGTCTTGCGTTCGAGTCCGGAGGACCAGGCCAAAAGGTGAATAAATCAGATGCAAATTTGATGCAAGTGATATACATTTGTACGACGAGTTTTTTAAACATAAAAGCGACGATCAGCAGTTCCGAATTTTGTCCCAAAGACGGTAAAGAACAACAGGGTACGATAAGATGGATCGATTAATAAGATTCGCCGACCCCGAATATTCGGTTTATTATTCAATAAAAGATGCATCGTTCATTACTCGATAGACTAATTAATTTGCAATTTGCAGGCGATACGGTGATTGGATGCACTTTACATGAGAGCTTTCCTATATTACTGTTGAATCTATCATAAAGCAAGATTTCCGCACCGGAAGTATATTCATAGACAAACCATCCCTCGATCCGAAGCAAATACAAAGTCTTTTCATTCTTCAACATACATGATGTATGCTTTATATATAGAATACATATTTTACAAGACGTGATATATGCGCTACAAGATGTTGTTTTTCTTTCTTTTGCCTTATTTCTGTATTATTATTCTGTATCTATCTCTATTTTATTTAAAGGAATTATATAATTTTATTTTTTATTATTAATATTATTAGTATTTAAACTTGCTAGACATCCCCCATAGATTTTCTTCCGTCGATTAGAAATGATAATTAATGATGCATTATCGATTCTATTATTTTTATCGAATTTATATTTTAGAAATGGTCAGAGTAAGCTAATCGCAATCGGATGATAATTAATACTGTTGTGCTATAGTTATGCACAATTCCTATATTTTTTGTAAATATTTCTATCGTATTAAATATAGTTTTCAAAATACCTTCTAAATATACTATAATTTACTCTGCATTTTCTCCAAATTATTTAATTAATCTATCAATAGCAAGAATTTTTTTGAACTTTAAAATCTTTCTTTATATAAGATAACACGATCTAAAACCGAAGAAAAAGAGGGTCTATTTTCGATCTTTTAATGCGACAACTTTTATTTCTTTCTTGCCTCTCATAAGAGCATATATTCTGGAGATGTATTTTTCTCATTATACTCTAAAATCTACTATTTTTTTAATAGAAATGAAAAATGAAATGAAAAACGAAAGATGTAAAATATGTATTAAACTTACTGCGACCATGTCTTCAATAGCCTGTGTAGATTTGGATCCTAGCATGACCATGCCCATAGCAATACCGGCCGCTTCGCCGGTCACAGCGTCATCTTGATACAAATTGAATTTCAGTTGCTCATAAACATCCTGTCTATGCGAGCCCATCGCGGCTAATCCAAGGCCGAGGCAGCCACCGTGACGAACCATCTAGCAAATAAATTTCGCAAGATAAGGCTACATCGAACTGCTATATTAAGTTTTATGCAGATACATTTTTTAATTATTTAATAAAACAACAAAAATTGTAATAAACATATTTAAATTTAACATATAACTAAAATAAAATAAATAAAATAAATAAACTAAAATAAATAAACTATTTCAAGATAAAATTATTAAGAGAAAAATATGAACTTACTTCATTTTGGGCATCTTTTAATTGACCCAAAAGATAATCCGTGATTGCAGCCCCATGATTAGCATGTATAAGTCCCAAAGCATATAAACCACCGCCTTCAGAGTATCCAGCACCAGCAGCACCGGAATCTCTTGGCAAGTAAGATTGCATGAGAGCTAAAGCTTCTTGCTCGTGTCCTCGATGAATCACTCCCAGAGAAGCTGTTGCAGTCAGTTTGGCCCAATTAGTGGCTCGTGCTAACCACTCTAGGTTATCTCTGAAAAATAAAAAATATTTTGAAAATTAAAAAAAATTTTTTATATTTTACTTTTTTAAAATTAAAAAAAATTTGAAATAAAATTTTCAGAAAATTAAAAACTCCAATACATTTCAGTTTCTTCATATTTTTTGTTGTAAAATAAAAAAAATCTAACAAATAAAAAATTAAAATATTAAAAAAGAAAGAGTTTCTAAATTTCGGATTTAATTTTTCTTCAAAATAAATATATACCTTAAAAATTGATCGCTAGTCGTCCCAGAATGCATAAAAGCGTTCGCGATTACAGTAGCAGTATGACAAATTGAAACTCGTATCGCATCCTTGGTATTTTTCAGAATCAGCATATCGGTATGATTACTGCGAATCAGGAACTGCAGATGCAAATCAATGGATACTTCACCGCCCAAAATACTTGAAAGAGCATCCACGCG